AAATTATTGATAGGCAAATTAGCTATTAGTAAATATGGAATTACAGGCCGTGGGAATCAGATCAAAAAATAATAGTACGAAATTATAGCAGTGTAGGCAATGCGATAGTCGCAGTGTAAGATTAAGGAAACTGAACAAGGCTCACCTTTTTAGTCGATGGTATTCTAAGCACATCTCGTTCTGTAAGGTAGCCGCATTCATGATAAAGGTTTTCAATGTAATCAAGGTAAGCCCAATATCGGCTTTTAAGACGGGTTCCATTTGCATTTATTGAGTTTGACATCGAACTCCAGTGAACAACGCTTGGGTCATACTTTTGATAAAGACTAAAAGGGCAGCATGGAATCACAAAAACGTTGCACATAATGTTGGATCTCAATGCAAGAACAGGAAGCCATGGGGTGAGTTCATCGCTATGATTGCCTATTAGCCAATTCACATCAGCAAATCCCGAGCAGGAAGTTGGAAGAATTACTTCCTCCTGTAACCAAAATTAGTTGTTTTCACATCAAGCGAGGCATAATTTTAATTAAATATGATGCTGACCCGAAAAATATTTGGAAAGTTGTCCCAGGACTTTCGCCTGCGCATATCTATGCCAATTCCCTTGTGTCCTTCGGAGGTTAAAATGAAAACAAGAAGACCATTCCCACATCCAATATCAATGAAATTTATTGGTTGGCTAGTTTTCTCCCAAAGACACTACAAACAAGAAAGAAAATTAAATATAGTAAAATCAAGAACTTGTAAAAGTGGTTTCGACGTCACACCAATAAATATGCGGCAATGGCCAAATCTTCAAAAACATGCTTCATTGGATCCGTTTTCTCAGCCCAATTCTAGCAGTTAGTCTTAGAGCATTAGCAAACTTGTAAGAGCATATCCCCATATTTTTTCTTGAGTTCCCGATAGATTAATTGATATAAATTTAGATCAACGAGCTTAAGTGAACTAGGAGTAGACGATAATCTTTGAGAAATCCAAGTGTTAAGCTTCAATTGCAGCTTTGAGATAAACCAGTCTTTACCAAAAATTTGGCTTTCACTCTCACCAATTTGAGTTATGAGTATACGACCTCTGATATATAGCGCTTAAAAAAACTTACCCAGATAATTCAATAGTATACTCTGCGTAATCAGAGGCAAATCGATACGAAAAGATATCTGACATCACATAAGCTTAATTGGTTACATGCCTTTTTCAATTGTCTCATCAAATGGCTCTATACTTGTGGACAACTTTGGGTAAATTTTTCTCTTGATAAGCTTATCACCATGCTGTGTCACTTTTGAGCCAAAAATTAGTTTATGTAGCACTTGCGGCTTGTTAATCCATATTAGGAGAACCGCATCAAAAGGTGAGCTCATGGTAGGCGCCCCCAAAGTCACTCGTTATAATACATTTCTAAGAGTATATATGCAATTTTGATATGGCCTCAAACTTTTATAGTGATCACTAAGTAATTTATATTATATTTTCTATTTTTTTGTGCCGTATTGGTTGGCGCCAGGTACATGGGCTCAAGTGATGCTGTCTCGTTTGGGTCGTCGCTACTTCAAAAGC